GAGAACTTTTCAGGAAATCAGCATTTGTTTCTGACTTTTTGCATCTTCTGAGCTCCTCATCTTCTCGCATATCCTAGCACCTCCCCCTCCCCCGAGCTCTACCCGCAGCGTGGCGTGGGAGTAAATGGTATCAATTGGCTCATACAGAGGGTACCACGTTAAGCTACGCGTGTTTGATATGTCAAGACAGTAATTGCCCTGGACTAGTATAACAATCTGAACTTTCAACGCCTAGACGCTTGCATCAGAAGCTCTCACTGAAGATGTCATGATGCAAGCCAGGGAGATCAGGTCCAACGTCATGGGACTGATTGAGGCGAGAAGGCATCACCCACTATATGCCGTTTACGAAACAGAAAAAAAACTTCCTTGGAACATGGACAGCAGGGGCATTGGCGATGTGGGTATCCTCGTCAACATGCTCTTGGCAAGAACATCGATTCGTACGAACATCGACCACTACCACCGACCCGGAATCAGACGTCTGCAATCGAGAGGATGTGATTTAACATCGGCTTCGACAATCTTCGTAGCCTACGCACCAAAACCAAGTTACGACAGGATGAGCTTGAAGCATTCCACGTGGAGGAAAAGTTCTACAAGGGGGACCAAACTTTCTTCAAGATCATCGTCAGCGATTTAAGCACTTGTGTGGACCAGGAAGATCGGCTGAAGAACCTCACATCGGAATTCACGGAATAGGGTGGAATGAGCGCCGTCGGAGGCTGCCTGAGTTTATCATGTCGACAAACACCATTCATGGTGACTCACAGGTCCAAAAGCCCTACTCTCTACGTGGGACATGGGAGTGTCCTGGTGAGTAGTTCTTCAACCACATCATCTTCAATCGAAATTTTTGCTTGACGAGGCCACAACGATTGCTCTTGAGTTGTACACGGGAACGGGTTGCCATCTCATTTGCGCAGCTTTGCTACGAGATTCCGTTCTTCCATGCATGGAGTGACCCAAAAAGTCCGAGAAGCAAAGTCCTGAGACTTTCATCAATTGGGTCATTGGAAGGTCAAAGATATGTGTGAAGTTAGGTTCCGAGTTTGATCCATGAATTGTATAGGCACTGAGGTTTGGCTACCCGTTGCTTACAGATGATCACTTCAAAAAAAATTCTTATTTGTTCTCAGTATTTTATATATTTATTACATGAGGTATCTCATGTGGAACAAACGGTGTAAACCGATAGAAAACATGAATGAATGAAAAAAAAACACAACAAATGCCTAATTGTTAGAGGGGAAATCAGTGAAATGAGTTGAAACGGAAGTCATCATGATTCTAGGTATTGGCTGAACTTTTTTAATGCTGACAGACTGGGTGGAATTTTTTTCTTCTTGCCCAGCTCAAGAAACCACGAATATACTCGGTTGATGAAGAAGTTGGAACGACAACTAACCATAACCCTGGTCTTATAAAGGAGTAGTTTAATGGAACTAGCGCGTGTAACGGATGCCCTAGCATTAGAAAACGTGTTATGCTGCAAAGGAGAAGGACCGTAGAGAGTTTTATCTATTTATTTATTATATGCACTCCTAGGTGCGTTACATTCCTTGATACCATAATCAGGTCGGGACTGAAAGAAGAACGAAAAGAAAAGAAAAACAATTCAAAAAAACACCACAGAAACGTAACACAATTCAAGATATCACAACACAAAGCTCAACTCAAATGGCACAGAATGGACATAAAATGTCAGCGGAGTGGTAGAATAAGTATAACTACTACCTACAAGGTTCATCATAGGTAAGGAATTGTCCGTATGTAGTAGAAAACAAAGAAAAGAAGAAGCCGCCCGTCTCATCCCCTCGAGCTGTAGTGTGTATACGTGAAAACAACACGAGTAATGTGAAAATTTTTTTCAACAGGCGGATGGCGCTAGGGAAACGCCACTCTCGCAAAAGGCAAAAAAATGGAACATGAAACAGAAGTCAAACTTTTTTCTACGCCAACTGAGAGGCCGGAGGCCAAGGTTGACATTTCTGGTAGAGGCAGAGGGTATGCCATCATAAAGAAAGCCAACCATTCTGATCATGAGTCATGAGTCATCATGAGTATTTTTTAGTTCCTACAGACGTTTTGAAATCGCGCAATTATGCATGTCTGTGGTTTCGCAGCACTGGAAAAAGTCTTAGGATATTGAAAGTTCGCTCCCAGATCCATTGTGGAACTGTGAGCGCAGCAGTAACTCTGCACTGCGTGATTGTAGTATACTGGATGCGTTTACTTCAGAATGATGCCGTTTGGATGCGCTCACTTTTGGCTGCGAGCCCATCTATGAAGTGCCTACATATATCACCAAGTTCGCAGAAAACATGTATAGAGGGGTAATTTAACATCTTGAATACGAATATTACATTCATTCTTGGCGCTGCACAATTGGAGGACGATATGATTATCTGCGCTCTGCTATGGCTGAGCCCAGAATATGGGAGTGGTGCTTTGTTTTGGGATGACCTCATAAGTACCCTTTCGCATACTTGCATACTTGCCAGTTGCCAGTACTCCGCTTAAGTGGTTGCGCTGACTGCTGACCTCTCACTGCTCCACCAATTTCAGCTTCATTACTTGGTATTAAAACACCAGTTTGGCTGGCGCTCACTATTGCGCGCCTGCCGTGATAAAACAATGCGAAATGATTCACCGTAGTAAATCACGATTGATGCCAAGTCTTTGCTTTCCCTTCTGGTGTGGTGTGTGTGCTTGACTGGAAATTCATAAATTTTTTTGATTCAACCAAGGAGAGTTCGAGTTGATAAGTGGGGGTGAGACGGGAACATGGACGATGGGTGGCATGAAATGATGACAGCTGACATGGGGTCTTGAAAGGGGAGGGTCACCAAGTTCATAGCCTGCGTTGCAGTGGTGCAGCGTTGATTCCAAGAAGTGATTCAGGGGTCTGGACATGAACTTCATTGGTGGGTAGCGGGAAGTGATATTAGCTGACAAGAGATAATAAGGTGCGTCAGTTGAGGGTCACCAAGTTCATAACATGGGTTTCAGCATCGGTGAGACGTTAGTTCTAAGATATGATGTAGTGTGTGGGTTATAATTTCAGTAATGGAGGCGTTAAAGGCACGGTCCGCAATTAGGTATCAAAGTTGAAAATATGGCGTCAGGAGGTTAGAGTCGCAGAGACGAACGACCTTGTACTAGCTTCGCGTCAAAAAATTCTAAGTGAGGGGCGCTACAGCGCAATATAGGTTCAGTGGTTCCCCCTTTTTTTCCAGTGACTGCGCCTCCAGACTCAGCCTCCAATGCCCGGCTTTCATTGAAAAACGGGATTGCAGGACGAAGAAGCATGAAAATCGTCACTTGTACGACTGTAGAGCTCTTATAGGTGAATCAACTGTGCGTATGAGGGCGTAGTGTGGGAGACAGAGTCAATTGGGCACGTACAAAGTGGGAACGAAGTGGGGTTCTATCTGGGGCAGGTGGCATGTTTTTCGTGCTTTTTTTCCTCACTGTCCTTACTCAACCCCTTGTCTGCTATATGGAACCCCCTAATCCACTATCGGGAATGACCAATAATCACGGGTTCTGCCTTTGAGAACTGTTAAGAACTGATAAGGTGATAAGGGCATTTGAAACTCAAGCGTCGCCCGTCACAGTATCAGTAGGAAGTTGGTTCAGTAACTGATATAGTGGATGTGACGGGGATTACTGATGGGTCAAAGAGAGGGGTAACAACCGACAGGGGCTGGTAAGAGGCGTTGCCCCCTTTCACACTACCAAATCATAAAGGTTTTGTGGTAATGGTGACAGTGATAAGAGGACATGTCAATTGATAGAATGACTGAGAGATCAGGAGCATATCTTCACCCAATTTTTTACCACTATGCTTCCAGGTTTAAAGTATTTTAGGCTAAAGTAGAGTGAACTTATTGGTTTACTGCACGTCGAACGGGGGGGGGGGGTTGTTCACGTTTGAGGTCTGAACACAATCAAGAAAAGAATCAACGAAATATATACGAGAAGAAAAAAAACTTGGCGTTAATCGTGACTTACTACGGTGAATCATTTCGCATTGTTTGTAATTATGAGGTCATCTCAAACAAAAGCACCACTCCCATCTTCTGCGGTTAGCCCTAGCAGAGCGCAGATAATCATAGTGTCCTCCAATTGTTCCAGCGCCAAGAATGGGTCTCACATTCGTGATCAGCATGTTTAATTACCCCTCTATATAAGTTTTTGGGCGACTCATTCATCTAAACACTTCTTAAAGGCAGTTGGCACGATAAATCCCCCAAAACGACTAGGATCGAATTCCGCGATCATGGACAGGTGCTGCATAGCGGTTTCCTCGACGAAGGTAAGGGTCCTATCAACCCACAACTTTACGTCCCAAACGCCCGCTACGCCCGCCCCTAAATGGACTACCGTTCCTGACGCTCGTATTCATTTGCCAAGCAAATTATGAAGTGAAGGGATCGGTATGAAGCGGCCGTGATGCTGCATGCATACATGGGTGCACATATACAGCCGTGTCGGCGCTGTTTATCGACGGGGGGGGGGCATTCTGCTCTTCATAGAGTTGCCAACCCATCTATGTAGGTACCGAGTGAGATCTGTAAACCGGAACCTGTGAAGCAATTATAATACAAAGTGCCTCCCCCCCATCGATAAACAGCGCCGCCGTATCTTCGGATGGCGGTGATTGGTAATATGCCTACGGGAAACTCGTCCGAAATCGATTCACAAGTCACTGAGAACGGAGGCTTTTTCTCCGCAGGATTTTGACCGTTTCACTCCGTTTTTTCGCCATTTCCCCACTATACAGCACTCCACTAGCGTTTCGGGCTAAGTAGGAAACCAACTGCCTCTGAATGAGTTGGCAGCCCAAAAGTGAGCGCGTCCAAACGGCATCAGACGTTCACTTCCTTCAATCTGCGAGTCGTAAAACTGCGGAATCGTTGCTATGGCTGTCACCTCAGTGTGTTATGGGGCAACCATAGCAACGAATCGTGCTGCTGATCTGTCCCACTTCGGCAATGGATATCTGGGGCTTGGCCAAGGAAAAGCTGCGAAGAAATGAAGAGGATTCCGTGAAATCAAAGGAGCGATTAAATGAAAAGAACGGTGAGTTAATCAAATGCCTTTATTTTCGAATGTTTTAGTATTTTTATAGGTTTAATTGGTTGATTTCATTTTCATTATCCCACAAACCTTGAATAGTCGACTCCATATTCCATTGTCAAAATCCCGGAGATCCCCTAAAAGGAGACCTCAATCTACACCATCAGACATATTTTACTATCTCGAGTTTTCCTCGAAATCTACAGAAGTGTTCTCTGAGAGGAGTTGTATAGCTTTTTCTTACACAACAAGTAAGGAGTCATGGGATGGGATCCCTTACAGCCCAATTTTTTCGCTTCTTTCTGCACCATGGCAAAAGTACTTGTAACGTCACCTATGTATCAGAGCTTACCTGACACTGCATAGAAAAGGGCTTGTGCGCAGCTGCTACAGCGCTTGAGCGCGGAAATCTGGAAGTAGACTTGGATGGGATCCAGGGCACGTCATTAGTTGGGGATTTTGGTAGAGTCCGTACGAAGCTCTCCCTTTTTTAAGGAGTTGATACAACCCCCGGCTTCCCTCATCGAGCTGTCGAGCGAGGGGGGGGGAGGGTGAATAGCACAGCGAACCGGAAAAACCGCGAGGAAAACGCGACCCCCTCTGTACCGATTTTTAGGTTTTCCCGAACTTCCTATCACCTCTTCCTGAATTTTGCGAAAGTTTTCCACTTTTCCCCAAAAACTTTTCGATCGAAATTGTGGTGGGAGGGGAGTATGCAGTACACATAAAACCAAGAAAAATCACGAAAAGGCAACCCTTATTCAGAAGATCACAAAGGAAGTATGACCACCCTCCATCAACGAAAAAATATGACCCGCCACGTTATAACGTCCGTGAAAAAAGAAAAATCAGCTATCAAAATAAATTCTTCTCGTCCCATCTACGACCCTGCCTCTTCCAGCGACCAAATACGACCCCCCCCCCACCAGCTGAGCAATTCCCAATAAGATTTGCCCTGGAAAGCGAACGCGATCGTGATGCACGCTGCGCTCAAGCGTTTTGGCGCCAGGAGAGTCTCTTTGTTTAGGGGATCAGATTACCCCTGAATGCAGGTTTCTAGCCAAATCCGTTCATTCTTGAGTGTGATACAAGTCCTATTTACACCCATTCAACCACAGGTGCATTCTCCTGTACGAAACCTCACTTCGCCATTTCTGGCACACTTATTCTCTTACCGTTCCAGCTTTCCTAGTAGCTGAAACGTATCTGAAGACAAAACATCGATCACAGGCTGGTCCCAAGAGAAATGGTGTCTATCATACCACCAATTGCTACCTCGCTTCCTTCAAGGTTGGATCAGAATGTGCCATACGGCTAGCAACCTGTTTCTAGGAGCTCAGCTTCTTGAGCTGAATATATCGTGTTTGGTGCGGAAACGGCACTAACAAGCTCTTTACAACTCGGAGATTTTTGTTTATGTTTATGTGACATTCATAATTACTTAGGCAACGAAGCTCACACCGAGAATTCAACACACATCATCATCTGTGGAAGTTCTCAGTCGGTAAGAAATTTGCTAGCTTCCCCAGCGCAAAAAATTGCTTGCAGTAGCAGCTTTTCCAGGGTAAAACCGCCATGGTAAATAAATTTCTCGATAGAAATGAGGAAGCAAAAGAAACCATAGCACTGGAGTACATCTATGCAAGGAGAACTCGAGGCAATGTTCGTAGAATTACTACCATATTCAACCTGCTCGAGTACATTCAAGTCTTGTGTTTGAAGAACAAGGATGTCTGTCACATATGGGAACTCGGAGGCGGCACTAAACTCGTTCAACTCCTTGCTATTCCTCTCGTCAAGGAGAACATTCAGTGAGAGCAAATGGTAGAATCTTCGTTTCTCACAGCATTCCGCCAACGTTTCAGTTCCGTTTCTGTGGTTCTCGTGTTGGACTTGACCCGCCCATATGAGCTATGGATTACCATGGAAGCGCTAGTATCTGGTGCGTCTCGCTACACAGAAGCCGCCATCAGGAATCTCGATGACAGAGGACAGACGGCGATCGGGAATCGAATGGTGGCTAGGTTGTCTGAATACAAAGTGAGTTTCTATGGTGATCACCTGAATATTTTGAAAGCATGAGCGATGCATTCTTAGGACGATGTGAAAATGTGTTCGCCGTTTCCGGTCCCACTCGTGGTAGTTGGTACAAAATATGACGAGTTCCAGGTGGCGTTTCATTTGTACTTAATTAACTACACATTTCAACTCGATATCAATGAAGAGAGGCATCCTAGAGATATTTGCCACACGGGTCAATAAGACTGGTAGGGATCTTGGTTCTCCGAACCCAGCTAGCACGTAGACGACAAAGTACTCCTTGAGAAAACGCCGCGTGAGAATTGGCGTATTTTGCTTGCTTCCTGTATGAGCCATTTCCGGGTCATAATGTAGTGGACCACTTTTTCTGCTCAGTGAATTTTCGCAAAACAATTAGGCAGTTGGGCGGAGTGTCACCTCCATCATGCTCCGTGGACAAACGCACACGTACGCGTATGCGGCGCGGTTTTTTTGACGTCACCGGGCGGCAGGGCGGAGCGGGGGCGATGGCGTGCACCTCCACCGCTGCACTCCATTCACAACGAACAACGGGGAAAATTTGCTAAAACATCCACTATCAGTAGTGTCTGCGTAGGAGCTCCTTCGCAATCGGAGAGAAGCTATTTCGCCATTGATTGAAACCAGCACTACTCTGTACTACTTTACGACGTCAGTAATACTTCCTTGCATTTCAAACATTAAGTATTCTCTGTGTTTTTGAAGAGCTACAAGGACGGATGAATCGCTGCTAATGACACAAGGCTGCGCTTGATAGATAAGCAGGTCTTGATGCAGATGTAGAGAGCGTGGCCTGTTTCGAGAGTTGGACAAGAAAGATCGGGCGTCTCTGTAAAGTTGAGAAAGTGATTAGAATAGAAGTGAAGGTAGAAATGGACTGGAGGGTACCAATAAGAGCAGTCTGGTGGTTCCAGCCAAAGGTAGAAAGCTCAGAAGTTATATATTATTCCTGAGCAAGTCCACCTCGCGCTGGTTTACCCTTGAAAGAAAGAACATTGGAAAAAAAGGGGATTATAATGTAACAATCTGCTGAACTCAGTGTTGTCCACTTAGTCATTGTGATGATCAGACAGACAGAATTCTATCCAAATAACAATCTTTATTTTGAGACAAAAATCCATTCAGCAGCGGAGAACGTTGGAAAAGACCGTAAGAGATCGTAAAGAATCGCCTGTACTACAGAAAATACAAACAACTGCCAAAAATTGATGGGAAAGCTAAAAAAAATACCAACTCACCTAGGCCGAACAGAAGAACAGCTGCTAATTAGTGAATAGTTCCAGGATTAGTGGAAGTGCCGAATAGAATGCAGATTAGTCGATTATCCGGTCATATAATTGTGAACAATTTTAAAAGAGCTCCCCTTCGGTTGCAAAAAAGCTCGTGCGGAGACGTTATCAAGTGTACGAAGCGTGAGCAGACTGCCAGCCGCTGATTGTGATTGAAGCTCAGTGGGGGAGGTGCATATCGCCGTCGACCCTCGCTCCGCCCTGCCGCCGAGTTGACGTCACAAAACGCTCCGCATACGCGCACGGATGAGTTTTCCCTTCCCCCCCCCCTCCAGCATACTCGACTACATCTAAAACCATCCCCTCCCAAACAACCAGGGACACCTTCAGACGCGGTCGTGATTTTTCAAATTTCGTTTGAATTTCTGCTTCTGCGACTTTTTTTTGAATTCTTGTGTTTTCACTCATGCAATAAAAGGTAGACGCTTGTATCAAGACACAGGCATCCCCCTCCTCCCACCCTTTTCATTGGATTTACGTAAAATTTTATATTAGGTTGTCCGGGAGGTTCTCAGCGTTTTGAGTGTTTCACTTCAAACGATCATAACTTTCTTAATACTCATCGGATTCAATTGAATTAAGCACAGTTCAAATCAGCACTTTTTTGCCAATGTGAAACAATCCCATCAAAAAAAAACTGAATGGTCGTGAATCCACGAAGGCGTTTTTTGCCTGGTCCTGATTGATGAAGTATTTTCCAGCAAGGATGTTCTGAATATGTTTGAAAATGCGATAATCAGTTGGTGAAAGGTCTGGAGAATATGGCGGGTGAGAGGAACTTCAACCCCCACTTCGTTCAATTCATGGATAGTGATTTGTGAAACGTGTGGGGGGGGGGTTGTCATGCAAAAGAATCGGGCCCTTTCTGTTGACAAGTGCTGGCTGCAGCTGACGCAATTTTCGGCACATTTCTTCGATTTCTTCGCAGTAGGAGTAGTGCTGTGATTGTTTGGCTTGGTGACTAGAAGTTATAGTGGATCACACCAGCCGATGACCACGACGCTGTAAGCATAATCTTTTTTCGTGAGGATTCGGCCTTGGAAATTGCCTCGGTGGTTTGTCCCAACCACTGTCCGAAACGTCTCCTACTATCATACATGATCCACTTTTCATCACAGGTGACAATTCGGTCCGAAAACGGGTCGTTTCTGTTGCGCAAAAGCAGTGAACAAGAAACCTGCCAACTGCTGCCGGTCACTCAAATTGTGGGACATCCACTTGTCGAGTTTTCTCACCTTCCCAATGCGTTTCAGACCGTCCGCAACAGTGGATTTGCCAACGCCTAGCTTTTCTGCAATCTCTCGAGCTGTTTGGAATGGGTGCCTCCACAAACCCCTTCAAATCCTCGTCAGGTATTGCTTCAGGTCGTCCCTGCGAGGTTCGTCTTTAAAGGCAATTCCCGCGACCACAGTTCATAGGTAATGCACTTCAAAAATAAAATTGCCGTGTGTTTGTTGACTTATTGAAGAAGAATGAAGCACGAAAAAGCGCCCGGAATAAGACCCTCCTTATTGCAACTGATCATGATCACCGGACGAGCATAAGGTGGTCAAGATCGATTGTGAATTGCGTAAGACGGCGATACACTGATGAGAGACGCGAGAGGCCAGAAAACGACGGGCGAGAGAGCGCAATGGTAGTCTCACAACGGCAAGGTCACTGGAGGCCGGCTTGGGCCTATCAGGCGCAAATGAGCCTAAAACGTGGGCGCCCTGCGTTTTGCTCGCTGTTCTTCAGCTTTTGAAAGCAGCGTCCTCTGACGTTGCCTGCTTGACCATCGTGCACGGTTATGAGAACCTAGCCTTAGTTTATCGCATAACGTGCCTTTAAGGCTGAACCAGAATGAAATTTGTCGAACCATTGTCGCACGGTGATTTCACACTATTGGGCCCCCACACCTGATTAAGTTGTCGAGCTGTCTCGGTTGTGGATTGACCCAATTTGTAGTTGAAGAAAAATATCGTACGGAATTGCTCTTTTGACATGCTTCAAAATGTCTTGGGAAAAGGAGTTTATTAAGCAATGGTGGAACGGCACTTATATTATCAGATAGCGCGAAAAATTCTCCTCAGGATGTACTACTGAGACGCAAGGGAGAATGAGTATTTGATCAGCAATGAATGTACAAAAAAACAATAATACAAAACGCTGAGAATTTTTCGGACAACCTAATAACTTCTTCCGACGTCGCCGTTTCCACATACACACCCCTCACAAATCGGATATACCCACAGAAAAGCATTTGTATTCCGAAAAACCAAACTCCGCCCGCATGGCCACGACCACTTCAGAGGATTTTTGCGAAAATTCATTCTTTTATTGTTTATCACTTTTTCGAGCCAGGTCAAGTAGCTCTCCCACTATACGAGACTCTGCCTGCTTTGTGTCAGCTCCACCCACTTTTATGAAAGGCCGTAATTCAGCGGTGCGAAACCTCTCGGCTCGTTCAAAATAAACCAGACAATGTTGTGGCGCTAAACCAGCGTCTAGGGCATGGAATGGCACCGATGCCAAGAACAAATGCCTAATTCGTAGCAAGGACGCCTAGTAACCTCAGTATGCGTTTGAGATGCTTTCTTCACTCCACAGCAGGCGTGTCCCCGTTCTTCATCTGAACATGGAGTTTAACTGGAGGGTCTTTCATTCACGAAAATTGTCATCATGTCGTGTGTTGGAGAAAGACGTGACTACAGTTGTTCCAAAATGGAAATGGCCCACAAAAGAAGCAGCGGCACTCATGTTCAATTCGCGGCCGCGCCTATCGCATTTAAGGGATCTGGAGTGTACTTCGATTACGAATTGCAGGGGGTTTAGGTCTACACAATGACATGCGGAGGCCAGACTATGTACTCCAGGTTTTCATCCTTTCAAACGGATCTGGTAGCAACTCAGGTACCGGAGGGCAGAAGGCAAGGTTGACTGCGCAGGAGCCGTTTTGAGGTTCCATCCCAGGACCGCTCGCACGATATGCAAACCTTTTCCCGCTATTCCGTTTTCCTTCAACCTACAAAACGGGATAGGAGAAATTGCGAGCATTCTAATCAGTGGTCACAAGTTTACTTTAGAACTTCGACTCCGAACAGCGGAGAAGAATTTGCTGCACTCTTCGCTTCATTACACACTACTATGGTGCACACTTGATGGTATGTTCAGCTTCAGTTGCTCCTTATACACTTCTGATGACTTTCATTCGTGACAGTCGCAACATTTGAGTATTACCGGCACTGACATTGGATTGTGAGGGTTCCATAATTCACTCCAAAATCCTTCAATGAGAAACAACACCAGTTTTAACTTTTCAGTTCTATTCATGTTACAATGAGCAACTGGTGAAAATCGGAAGGAGCCTGTTCAGTCACTTGGCCTTCGGAACTTCTGCATCCAAAGGCAGAGTCGACGACCACAACAGACCAATCTACCTCTTATGCGGGATGGACACCTTTGAAGTTCGTTAGTAGGTAAACCGTTAGGCTAGAATACAATGTCGAGTTGCAGTCTATTGGGCGGCCGCCCCTTGCCACTCCTTCGTTTTCTCAAGCAGCCCAACCACTCCATTTGTGGAAAAATGCTTTTTGCGACCACTTCAATCAGAAGGTTCTAGTTTCTTTCTGCGCAGCTTTCACCGTTTCTCTCCAAAACTTGTGCATTATTTGCTTTTGAACTCGCTCATAATAACGCTAGAGTTCAATCATTTCAGGATCACGAAATCACAGAGAAAATCACTGATGAACAACAATTATTCTTCGAACCAATGATTGACAATTTCGTCGCTCAGAGAGAAAAAGTGAGACCTTTTCGCCAAGAGACAACCATGCGTTGTTTTTCTTTGTTTTTTTATACACAGCATTACATGCACAGGTGATAGACAGTATTATTTATTTTTTTATTTACCATACACGCAAGGGTGCGCTAAAATGTGCTCGAATCTGGATGGGAAACAGCGAAAACATTCAAACGACATAGAAAAAAGACAACGACAAATTCAGACAAATACACGCTTGCAGAAAACTCCGGGTGTGTGGCGATTCTATCGTCGATGATAAGTAGGTCGCCGCGCTGGTGGGCGCCGCGTACGAGTCCTACTGCGTCGTGCTCGTTGAAATTGTTAAAATGATCGTCAAGCCATATTGTTTATGTTAATCCTGTACTGCTTATCCCATTTCCCAGTTATGATCAATGATTGTTTTTTCCGCATTCAAAAGTAAAGGGTGTACGACTGGTCCCACGTTATTTGTTCAAAACTACTGATCCAATTTTGGGCTTTTCGGAACTTGTGAATACGCGGTCTTCGAGACCCATTTGTATGTCGGTGATGCAACTCCGGAATTGTCGCACCGCGCCGCCGCGCGAGACGCCGCGACGCGATGTGCGCGACGTGACCTGACTTGCCGACGATAGAATCACCCGGGTCCCGGAAACTCCTCACACCTGAATATTGTAGGAATCCTCATTCCTAGTGAAGCGAGTAGTTAAACTTCCTTCAATTTCTTTTTGAACACGTTGGTATTTGGTGCCTTCTGTAAGATGGCACCATTCGCCTTCTGTAGGACTGATGGCAGTGACTGAAGCCATCTCGTTCCACGGAAGAAGAGGCTGTTTTTTTCGATGGCCCTGAAATGCTCGAAATTGAGCATTAACCATCGATCCAAGATATGTAACTCACTACTTTTCCGTGGAGCGAGATGCCAAGCGGGTACTTACCAGGCTTCAATCTTATCTCTCCTTTGAGTAACTTGAAGCAAAACAAAATGTCATTAAACACCCTTCTATATAGTAATGACTTTAGGTTGAAAAGCTGCAAGCGCTCTCTATACCTGGGTAAACCACGTGGATATAACGGGCTGGGATAACATAGTTACATCTGAAATCTGGTAAAAGTTTGCTGATTTTCTCAACTTTTGTCTCAAAGTATTATCCTCAATTACCGACTTGCACGCGCAAAGCGCTGCGCTTGAAAGGAGCACACGCGAGATGTTATTGCAGAGTCGAGAAACATGTGGTAAAACCTACGTCTCGCCATGTAATGCATATCTTCAAGCGAAAAAGCCAAGATCTGCGTGAACGATGGCGGCAAGGCATCAGGCCCAGATGGCCACCAAAATGGTGATAAAACTGTTTTAGAACTCCCGGTTATGGACAAACCCTGCGATTGTGCATTGTGGACAGTGACGTTCAGTTGCAGCCTGCAGCCGCTAAATAATTCTGCAGAGAACAAAATAACAAAAAAAACATGGAAAGCACCTCAAAGGAAGACCTGGGGCCCCTCTGGACGAGTTCTCCGGACCTGCTTTTTACGCCAGCAAAGGGATATCCTGCCACCTTCAGCTCAATAATTTTCTCAGCGTTATTCACTACTAAAGCCATCTGACGAAAAAAAAGAAATGGGAAGCCTGGCATGAAATTGAATATGTGACAGAAAATGGCTTTTGTGTTTCATGGGGCGGAGCACCCAGGGAGGAGACGTCAGAAATGCCAATTATTAGGGCCACAGCGTTTCACATACTGTGAAAGCGCGAAAGTTTGACAATCTCAGACTGAGGGCCAAACTGCTTGTACAAGGAATGACGCGTGCGTGTTGCTCGAGCGCGGGGACTGTCTCTGAAGTAAGCACACTACACTCCATCATTCAGAAAAAAGAAAAATTCGGATCGAATCGTATTCTGACAGGAGGACAGGATTTAATCTAATCTGGTCAATCTGTTATTAGTCTTTCTCCGCATGTTTCAACTTACCCTTAAGGCGTCTACGCTTCTGATGCGATATATCTCGACACAATCGTTGTCGTGTCTTGTCCAACACAGAACAAGGTGACAGTTGCCCCAGACTGGGTATTCCACTAGTAACCAGTTCTTTACAGTGTTCGAATGCCCCGCCTACCCGATCTCAGGGATTTCGAGTATAGCTTCAATGGGAAAGACCAGAGAGCTGCATTGGGATAAAGCGGTTTCCTCAGAGTCAGTAGCATGGACGCGTTCCCAGGAGTACAGCGATAAATGGGTGAAAAGAACTTTTACATTGAAAGGAAAAAGTTAGCCAAAGGAGGTTAAGCTTCATGCACTTTACTGAAGCTCAGGCAGATAGATAAACACAGAATAGGCACTCTGTTGGGAGCAGAATCACAAAGGGCAATTTTGGATCGAGATAAGGCGGCTGCTAGCGGATACGTTTGAAAAATCATTTGCATTTGAGTCTGATACTACACAAGATTCACCATTCTTCCTAGGGCTCATGCTTCTTTGCAAGTGGTCGTCAGCACCTTCTATCAATAGTGATTGTATACCCTTCATTGTAGTAAAAAAACTATATTTTTGAAATTTGCGCCCCACTCGAATCTCTTTACAATCTCAGTTTCATGGGCGGTGTAGTAGCGTGCAAATGGAAGCACTCTATTGTTGTGCCCCATCATAAAAAGGAGCCGCTGTCGAGTCCAAGTAATTACCTACCAGTTAGTCACACTTCAGTTTTTTCCCAGTCTTCGAAGAAGTAATTAAGCATCAGTTACAGTTACTAGAGCACATATGGCAAAATCATATTCTTCCCGCCACACACCATGGGTTTTGCAAGGGCAGGTCAATTGAAACCTCTATGCTGTCCTGCATGAATGACTGGACAAAAGCGCTAGATGCCAAAAAAACGTTAACGTAGTATACATTGATTTCAGCAAGGTATTTGATAGACTGTCGCACAAGGTACTGTTAAGCAAACCTACTCGCTTGGGAGTTCACCCCCTAGTAGTGAACTGGATCGAAGATTACCTAATCGAACTTCCCAAGTACAAATATGGGAAGCACTGTCAGAGGTACAAGTTGCAACCGCGGTGTTCGACAAGGTGGAGTTCTTTCACCGGTGCTTTTCAACAAGTTTACGGCCGACCTTCCTTACGTGCTACAGAATCTCGAAGTTAATTGTAATATTTATCGACATTAAGATCTATTTATTTATTTATTATATGCACTTCTAGGTGCGCTAATTCCTTGAAACCATAATCAGGTCGGGACTAAAAGAAGAGCGAAAAGAAAGAAAAAGCATACAAAAAAAACACCACGAAAACGTAACACAACTAAGAGAACACAACACAAATGAGCTCAAACGGCACAACACAGAACGGACACAAAATGTCAGCGAAGTAGTAGAATAAATGAACCATGGCGGAAACTACAGATAGGCTCAGCGCATTAACGCAATCATGAACCTGACATCCGATAACAAACAGGAATTCTGGAGACAGGGCCCTAATCCCCTTTATCATCATCATCATTTATTCAATGTTACAATAGAAGGAAGGCAACTCAGGAAAATACCAGTGATTGACTTTGATTTTGCAGTGAGGTGAAACCGATGGAATACATTGCCTTTCTTAAGTGATTATCAAATATTTCATTTATTAACTACCCTGCAAAGAGAAAAATCAAGAAGTAAATTATAGTTAATTTGAGGCACGCCAGATATCATACAATACTATGGTTTTGTGCAGTGGTTGATGTCAGAGGGGCTCCACATCCAGGATGAACCCGAAGCAGAACTTGATGTTCCACTCAACAATAACGATTTTTCACTAGGGCGCAAGTGGCTCACAAAAGAATTTAGGCGTGAGGTTGAATGCATTGCTATAGTCGGCTGCAGACTCACACCATATCGACGCGCTCTACCTGGAAAACAAACCCAATTTTCCAAGAACCGGCCGGATCTTAATCAACTTAATTTCTACGGGGACAGGTTTGACTGAGAGTTGGATTCTAGAGGTAATTCGACCTCCTGAACACGACATCACTCCCACTTGGCCTGACCAAGGGTATTTCATCACCAGCGCCAAAATACCCTAGGTCACTAAACCCGCTGAAAACTAACAGTAAGACCGTTTAACATCTTGATTGCATATATCACATTCATTTTTGGCGCTGGCGCTGAGAAGACGCTGTGATTGTCTGCGCTCTGGTATGGCTGGCCTGACTTGAAGGAAAACACTATTCCTCACACGCTCAGCCCTAGAAAGTGTTAAATGACGCTGGAGTGAATGTACCATACAATGCAAATAACACCGAATTTGGTGGGAAGGGTGGCGGCGCCAAACTGGCGCCAGTTGGGCGCCACCGAAACGAGTCTACATTCGTGATTAGGACACTGAACTATTTCTATGGGCGAGGTTTCACCAAAAGAAAATCTTTTGTCTTTTTGGGGCAGTAATAGTTGGTTGAATAGTGCCATTTTATGGTTTTCGCGTTTCCAGCAACAATAGTTGAGCCCTGATTTCAACTTCCCCGCATTCGAACTTCGGGTTACAAGGACAGTTGGGGCTCTGATTACCAGTGGAATAAGATTAGACTAAAGCACAGGAAAAAAATCATGGAAACCTTAGTTTCTGAACGGTAGAACGAAAACTGCCCTTCTTCCTCTCAGCTTATTAAGAATTCCCATTTTTTTGTACTAGAAAAAGATCTGCTTTTTCCCTACAATAGTTTAGCTTCACTTCCTGCAGTGCATTATACCCTGAATAGTTCATGCTTCTGTTACAGCAGCTCAAAGCATATGTCGGCAAACCGGCTACGACCGTTTTTTCCAGGTAACGCGCGTCAAATATGGTGCGAGTCCGTGGACGACTATTGCAACGCACTGAAGCTCACGCTTAAATTCTTTTGTGAGCCACTTGCGCCCTACTGAATAATCGTTATTGTTTCCACTCACACCTCGATTCACCAGGGTCGGTTTTGATTAAATGTGCAACCGCACGAAGCGATCGAATGGTGACGAGGCGGTGGTCGTCACCATCCGATCGCGGTTGCACATTTAATCAAAATATTACAATTAACTACGTGCTACAGAATCTCGAAGTTAATTGTAATATTTATGATTGGAGATGTAGATTGCGGACCTTCACTACAACTTGCAGTCAACAAGACAAAAGTGGGCTGGGCAAAAGATAACGGGCTTCTTTTGTCGTCGGAAAAAACTCGGGTAATGCGTTTGGGCGTTTCTAGCTGCAAACCGGTGTATAATGTTGAAGACGTTGCACTAAAAACGGTGAAAGAGGTAAGAGATCTAGGATTGCACTATGATAGCAAGTTAGATTTCGGCAAGCATTGTAAAATGCTGGTAACTGAGGGTTTGCGAAGGGCTTTTAACCTTTTCAAGGCCCTGCGAACGAGAGAAGCTAGCGTGTTGTTGCGATCATACAAGCTTTATGTTCGCCCCATAATGGAGTCTGGGAACGCGGTATTCAATCCAGATATGAAAAAGGATATTCACGCGCTTGAAAGTGTGCAAAATAACGTTACGCGTAAACTGGTGCTTATGGTTAGATGTGAAGGAGTGAACTACTTGGGGATACCCACCGGAACCGCTCGGTATAGCACTTATAGTTTAAAATCACACTGGAGTGGAGAAGTAGAAATGATTTGCTAATGGTCTTCAGAATACTGAGAAACAGTCCAAATGAAGGCCCATCGCTTTTTTCGCGTGCTCCTTCTAACTCAAAAGAAGCATCCATTAGACTCTCATCTATTTATGCAAGGAATCACCTCAAAGGAAGCGTACGCGTTCAGCTGAGATTTTCCTCTCCCCGCTGAGGCAACAACTACGCCATTTTTGCGGCGCAAAAACGCGTGAGGAGAGCCACGATGCCATCGTTCTTATCATTGCCCCACCTACAATCATTGGCACCGCCCACCATTCATTTCTAATGGTTACCTGATGGTGCGGTTCTTTCGCTGCTGCTTCTCTCCACGTCGAGTGGTGAGAGTGAGGTAATAAGGGAAAACAGCTGATATCAACAAGTGAGAACTCGTGCAACCGCACCTTCTCTTCGCCTTGAGCACGTACAGCCTCAATTAAGCAAGGGGTTCTATATAGAGCTTTTCGTATGACTTCTTTCTGATTTTTCTTTACTGAGGGGTTACTTACTACCTTGTTATAAGTATTTGAGCGCATAACTCATCAAATTTGAATGCGGGCTCAGCCTTTGAGTCGAAGTTTTTCGGTAACAGGGTATGCTTAAGGTTCAAGTCCCTTTTGCGGAGCAATGTTTTACAGTTGAAGTATCAATTTTCAAACGACATGTGGGAGATTTTGTAGAGAACGAACTTAGTTATAAATTGCTATATAGGATTTGGTTAAAAAGAAATTGTGATCAGATGTATACTTGTTTTTAGTTATTTTGTTGTGTTGTGTTTTATTTGTTGATTTTGCTGTCGCGTCAACCGAATAAATAAATAACGCAATAGCCCAACCAAGTATTACCTACGGTCGCACTTCACGTCCAAGTGTACTTCGAAGAAAAAGGGCTGCACATAGAACTAAATTCGCGGGTACTTACATAAATTTGATTTAATGGGCGTTTCTATACTAAACTCGCTCATTGAGAGGAGCGCTGGTGAATAGTGCCTCTATTGAGACATCCAATTATTTAGGATTTGGAGGTCTACATCAAACAGAAAAAGGATCGACAAGCAGCGGAGGCACGAGCAGCAAAGAAGATAACAGGCTCATAAAACCATAAAATTCGCATTTCGCTACGTGATAACTCACTGTATTTGCGTGATTTGAGGCGAGTGGAAATCGAAATGTCGAAAAAAACTTTATTATTTTTCTGAGTATTTTTGCCCAACTGACCGGTCACCAAATTCAGTAGGAGAATCACCACTAATCGTACAAGTGATGAAAGTGGATCAGAATGATTGCAGATTCGTTTTTTTTCCTTAAATCATCACGATTTTCTGAGCCATTTCGGTGCTGGAGCTGCTTTATGAGGAGGAGGATGAAACTCTGAATCCATGGGAGTCACTAAAGCACCGGGTCTTTTCATTGTATGCTCCTCTTCCTCTACCAGTGGCGTGTATGGTTTGAAAATCGAATTCTCGGACAGCCTAAAAATCATTAATGTTACGTTGACGATGTACAGGTTTTCTAACAATAAGAGTGCCAAGTTGAGACGAAACAGACTCCGAAGGTAGCCACTAGCAGCAGCAAGGAATGACTGCGTCACCGAAAGGGATTTAATCCACTACTTACATTATTGCATTATAGAACTGTATTCCAGAGACTCACCACTTAGAGCTTAGACTATCTGCTTCATCTTGAGTACATTCTTGTAAGGAATCTTCTAATAAAATAGATTCTGAAAAGTACATCAATGTGTGTCCTCATCCCAATTAGCGACCAGAACCATACTGATCCTTATTAGGATAGTATCAATAGAGACAACCCTGTCGCTTAAAAAAACCAAAACAGCTATAGGCATGACGCGTACCAAGGGTCACTGAGTCCTTGAACTTCACTAGTACAGTAGACTTAGGCGCCAAATCCACATCCACGAAATTCTTCGAATTGGACTCTTCGATGGTACCAACCAGTGCTAGTTTTATCGAGAAAGGCACCTTTCGAGATAGTACCGTGCGTATCCATTCGAAAAGTCGTATAGCTAGAAGGAAGTACGTTATGCTCATCGCAATGCCATGCGAAAAACCACTCACTTGGTTCTGCACTTCGAAATTGTGCTTGAATCATTCTTTCGCTGCCAACTGGTATTCTTATGACCGTATGACGATAGGCAACCAACTTTCTCTCCCTATTTTTCTCTTTCACGAATTGTGTAGGAACCAGAGCGCGTTGAGAGTTGAGACGCCTTAATAACGAAGTAAAACAGAACTTCAAGACGCTATCCTATCTGGAGCCATTCAAGCATGCCTTGTTAACCGAAAGAAAGGTTTTTGATCTAGGATTTCGATCATGATACTGTAACTTCACTCACTGCATGCAGTGAGGGCGCTTTGTGTAAGGAAAATCATTGGATGTTATGAGGAATACTAGGCCAACAGGCCCTTTGTTGTTCCACATACAAGTAAGTTAGGTTTTTCTCTTGAAAGTGCACTACATTACTAGGTGTTGAGACTTGTCTGGATATCAGAACACAATCTATACTGCTTCCCTCTAAGTTACGACGCTTATAGTGGCAAAGACGGTGGCAAGTGACGCCGCTGTTTACCACAGCGCCCGAGCGGCAGTACTGAAACAAGCACAGCCCAATCAGCGTTTTTACCGAGTAGGGTAATTAGCACCAGAGTGGTTCCGCGTTTGTTCTTGAGAGCAGTGCCTCACACTGTTAGCTCTGCTAGCCTCGTAATGTGTTGCAAGAGGGAAAACGGGCCCAATGACACCATGGTTCTGACAAGGGAGGTCGTTCAGGGCGTGGTGAGCTTTTCAAAATCGTCTTGTCCATATTGTAGGGGCACATACGAGGACCTCAAAACTGAGGTTCATTTTCGCTGCGCGCTTCTGCGAATAAAAAAACGTAAAAAATAAGTCGATGGTTCGGATCCCGAGGACAAAATTTTGCTTTTCTACAGTTTTTCATTTTTTGGATCCATGTTTGCCTAAATAATTGGTCCTAACAAAAACATTCACGATAAACTGAACAATCCTACTTTTATGAAGCAAAACTGCTTTTCCGTTCGAATTCGTTTGTATGAACAGATTCAGCTCTTGGGCGCTATGCCAGTGTCAGATGGCACTGGAACCGAAAATAAAGTCTAGAATCCTGATCAGGACTGCCGATTACCCCTAGGAGCAAGTTTTGAGCGAAAAATTTTTTTTTGACTTTTTCGGGTTGTAGGTGACCGACCATTTGGTCGGCAGTGTCAGCGGAGTCTCACATCTTCGTAACAGCGATGCGTATCGTTGATGCTACGGACCCCACACAACCCAATAAGCAAACCCAAGAAGGTCAAAACAATTTTTTGACCGAAAGTTCGTTTTTAGTGGTAATCAGTGGCCCTGATCACAAATATAACATATATTCATGGTATCCACGCAATTTGGCGACAGAATAGCGGTGAACGTTCCCTATATTGGTGTACATAACCAATTCAGTGGAAAGAAGATGTGGCCCCAAATTGCCTATAATTGACACCACACCAGAAGTTACTGAATTCGCGATCAGATTCATTGTATAGCCTATGAGGATGAACGTTCAGCAACAATCTTGTTCAGTGGTGCGTGAAAATCGGAATAGTTGAATAGCACTCACTCATGAGGTACAGCAGCTACTCGGAATGCCCATAAATGGCAAATTTCCGAGTTATATTCATGCGCAGACACTAATGGAAGCGAGAACAGCGAAACCTGAAAAATGCAAAAAGCCGCGATGCAAGGGGAGTCGAACCATCAACACCACCCTCACTGTCCGATTGCGAAAGGTCCGCTCTATCCGCTAGGCCATCCGATGCTCGACTGTGCTAGCGCTCTTATCGTTGATGAAGCCATGCAAGAAGCCGTTCACCCTTGAGCACGTGACCCAAGCTGGAAGCTCGCTTGCGGCGATTTTTCGCTTCGATTCAAATAGCCCTTTTATAAGGGACCCCTCACTCAGCAACTGGTCAAAGTTGCATGTGAGCTACGCCGTATAGAGGCCCAGAGCGAATCAGATTCCAAAGATTCCTTTCACTCGTTTTTCACCTTTCCTGGAAGCGCGCAGCGAAAATGAAGCACACTTTTCAAGCCCTTGCATGAGCCCCTACAATATGCAGAAAACCGTTTTCGAAAAGCGCACCACGCCCTGAACGACCTCCCTTGTGAGTGAAAGTAGGACGGCCCCATTCCCAACAGATTGATTGACTCCCGAAGTTTTCTCATACCATACCTTACAGAGTGTTAGTGAGAAGTCCTGTCAGCGTTGTGACATGTCCGTCGTCATTTCCTTTAATCAGCATGCAAAGGAAACTATTCAACAACCTGATTACTACGTAAGCCAATACAATGCTTAACGGGCAAGTCAATGATCCCTTTCCTCTAGAACTCAGGGAGCTGGAAGTACAAGAAGTGGAGAACCTCGCGTATAATGCCATCGAAATAGGTGAAAGTTTTTCGGCCAAAAAAAAGCATCGATACGGCGGAATAGGTGACGATTGCAGGGGCTATGCCAGGAGAATGGAGTATATGGGGTATGCTCCAAACGTTGCTCATCGAATTTTTTGAGATGTTCTTAGCAATGTACGGCCTCGCATTACCTTAGGGGCGCACCAAAACTAATCTCGTCCGCTCTCTCGAACACTTTCATTGAGATGCTAGCGTTGAGTGAAGTAAATGACACTACGATTAGAGCGTGTCCTGCGCGAGCAACTTGCAGCATGCCCTCAAAATCCAGGGACCAGTAGAGGGATTCCTTAGGGCGTTTCTGTTTAGTGGAGCTGGCTTTCTCCTCGAGTGAGCCACAATGAACGCTGCAAATTGGATGAAGAGCAACCACCTCTCAATTGCGTTGACCAGGTCTTCGAGAAACTCGTTGCAATGGGAGCGCCGAGAAGAGAAAATAGATACCATGATGCACTAATGCAAATTAGTTAAATGGGTACTAGTTTTTTTCATAAAGTGGAGAATGGCAGAGCCTCCACAATGTGACAAAATTCTGACCGAGGTCTCACTTCGTAAACCGACGCCTTTTGCCGAACAAGCTAATCAGCTAGGGCCAGTCCTAATGTTATCGGTACCGAATGCGCTGTCGATATAGCGGATACCTGTCGCTTCGCTGCAATGGAGCATTATGGTATAGCGGATGATGGCGAGAAGATCTCCGTGTAAGTTGTGGTAGAAAATACGGTAGGTTTACCAGCTACATATAGCTATTGCGAGAATGCCTCAACCGAATGTTATAACTAGAACATGGTATATCTGCAGTATCGATCAAGAATCAAGACTGGATTTTCTTTCAAAAATCCTGTGAGGACTTTCTCCCCGACCTAATGTTGGTGGTGCTCCTCTAGGTGTACAATCAAAAACAAATAAACGGATAAGTGAATACATACACCTGTTTGCGGAGATCCCTGTGCCGTGCTCTGACATCGTCAACACTGACCTCGAAGAAATCATCACTGAGCCCTACCTCGGCCTCTTCCCGTTCGACATTTATCCTTCAAAGGAGCTGTTTAATGCTATCACTGTGAGATGAAAAAGGTAATCCTAAGGAGTTGTCGATCAAATATCAATACGGCTCACGAAACAGAGTTCTTCGAGAGACGAAAAGAGTTCATTGAGACACAGCGAATGATCGCCTCAGAGGCGCTTGCAGATGCAGAAGTGTACCACCTTTGCGTCGTGCGGACACGCGATGCGCACTGCTTGAACGAATGATGCGATGCCCTATCACCGAATTATGTAGTAACCAGGGAATCGCCCAGCTATCGCTGGGCGCTCCTCCTTCTGTGACATAGCCCGGCTTCGCCGGGCCATGCGGATTTGCCGCGAGTTAAGTTGCGGATCGTTGATCAACCACATGTTCAAAGAAATTTTCTGCATCAGCTAAGAACTGAAAAGCAGCGGCCGTCCCGCCAAGACGCGGAAGCAGCAGCAGCGCACGCCGCATCACAGAAGGACGAGAGCCGAGCTTAGCCAACGATCCCACTGATATGTTCATAACCTACACGGGAATATTGCAGCCTGTTAGGTTAGCCGCTGAAGCAGCCTAAGATTCATGCATTCTGTTCTCTTAAAGTGTCTTGCTCTGGGATGCACTCCCGCATTCAGCAGTGGAACGCTTTAAATGACCCTCACTAAGGTTGGATGGAAGATAATTGTGGGAAGAGTGATTAGGTCAATTGCTGCTGTTAACATCTCTGTAACGAACCCCATGCATTCGGAATAGAGCTAGCTTGGCGGTCGTACATAACGTCGTTACTGATAAGCGATGAGGAATGAGTTGAGTTGGATTGGAATCATTGAGATCGTTGTACTTGAGTCATATCGATCTCATTGTTGTTGTGAGCGGTGAAACGGATTTACCCATGCTGACTTGTCACTTTCAGCTCCTATCACTTCCGTCACCCGATAATAATATTCGCGTCCCATATCACTATCATACCACCCTATTATCATCTTTCGGACCCAAGGTCCCACTGTTGCTGTAACCCTGCGTTACAAATTTGATGATCCTCCCCTTCCGAGACCCCTCATCGGATCTTATCAGCTGTTATCACTCTCTGTCACCCGCCAATAATGTTCTCGTCCCACACCCTAAATCACCTTTCGGATCCAAGGTCCCACCGTTGCTGTAACCTGTGCTACGAACTTGATGGCCCTCCCACTGCGAGGCCCCTTATCGGATCTTATCAACTGTTATCACTTTCTGTCACCCGCCTATAATGTTCCCGTCCCACACCCTGTATCACCTCTCGGGTACAAGGTTCCACGCTTACTGCGACGGGTGCTACGAATTTCGTGACAGACAGACAGACAGACGCACACACAAACAGACACACACACTTACAGACATACGTAGCGGATTATATACAGTAGAATCGCAGAGCAAGAAGCAGATGGGGACGCTTCAGTCATAGAGAAGCGCGTATCGCGTGGCCGGATTGTCATATGGTATGCGGATTGTCATCAAGACATCAAGCTATTACAAGTTCCTCCAGTTCCTTCCAATAGCAAGAGTTGTATGCCTCTGCAGCTACGAGCCTGCCCAGTACACGGAAACGATCACCTTCTTAGATAATGCGTATGCAACAAATGTGTCTTTAAGAGAGCCAATTATCATATATGAGCATTGGTGTGCATTACTCATAAGAACTTACTGACGTCGAAAGACCACCGGTTGACGGTTGCAAGGAGACGCGGAAACAACTGGGCTTACAGCAGTAGTAATGTTCGCCTTTGAACAATAGCGTGTTGAGTTAAAGAAAGATGTTCTCACATGCACCAAGGCTCGCAAAAATAACTAAGTGTCCCACCGACTCTGCTACCCGCGTTGCTTCGACGGCAATACGCGAAAGCGGTACGCGTCCCTCTTCAGCAAGGATGTCCGTTATTCTGTCGTGCTCCGTATGTGGTCTACTGAGAGATGCATCTACCTGAATCAGAGCAGCTGCAGTGTGGCTTGTGAATACAAGCTTCGATGAGCCTATACGCCTACTGAAAGACTAGAGAGCACCTCTTCCGTGAAGAAAACATAACGGAAACGATAGTTCGTGGGGCAGGTCAAATGGCGCACAAAGCACATCCGTACCCGTGCGAACATAACTTGTGGTATGCGAGTGCATTATTTGGCCATGTAAAGCAGCTAACAGACACACACCTCTGCTTCTAACATCTTTAAAAGTTTGAAAGCAGTTGGACGACTCTGAAAAGGTGAGATCTTTCGCTGCTTCGAGCAGGACCAATCCCACAAATCGTGTCAGCAGTGTATGCTTCTGCTAGTCGCTTTCAGCTCAAAAACTAACCGTTTGGAAAACACGTCTCTTGAGACAGATTGAGCCCATACAATGGCAAGCACCTCATCTAGAGTGAAAACATCCTAGCGCCAACAGAAGCACGACATTGTGCAAGCTGACCCCGTAGTGAAGTCGGTGCAACAAAGTTTTGGAAATTTACGTTGAAAGCCATCCGACCTGCTGTAGAAGTCTGCTTAGATTTGAAAGCCGATCACTGGGTGTTGGGGGTGCTGCCGGTGCTGTAGAAAACACAGGAGCATCAAAAGACCTCAAAGCGGTAGACGTAAGGGTAAGAGACTTTAAAATGAAAACTAGCCAAAAGTACCATCCACTCTGATTTCTTGTAGGACTTCTCAGCACATCGCGAAGAAATGTCGGATTAACGGATCTGAATGAGCGCGATTTGTCAAACAAGAATTTACAGAACCGCAGAAATACATTTGTTATACTGTTGGGTTTGAGCATTGGCATCCACAGGTTCCTCTGCTTTGATATTTGGGTCGGTCAATTTTTTCAGATCCACCTTTGAACGCAGTTCCTCTTCGAAACGCTAAAATCGAATGAAAATCGGTGATAAGCACGGAAAGTATTGAACAGCATCATGTGTTTCAATACTGACCGCCATCCGAGCAGCTTCTAGCTTAGCTCTCTGTTCATTCTCCTCTTTCTTCTTTGCATAGCTAGCAAGCAATGCTTCCTTTTGCGCTGCATCGCAAGCCATTCTTGCAGTGATATCATCCAGTTGCTCCTTCGTCAGATTTACACGCTGATATCTTAATTAAACAAAGACTGAGAAAAAACAAACACAACTACACATGATGAGTGTGAGCAAATTTCAAAAATTATTAGAATGCCAAACAGCGGCTACTTTGGTTTGGCGACACCTAACCAAAGTAGCTGCTGCTTCTGAGAACGCAAAAATGCTGCAGTCGTGATAGGTCCAGAAAAATTTGCTACTGAGAAAGAGGATGGGCATTTTGTAAACTCCTGCAAGCATAGCGACGATTTTTGAAGTCCTATAAAGGCACCAGCTTCAATCCGATTTCTAAGTGGTGCATGGCATGTGCAGTTGGAAACTGAAGAAAACATCGTGCGCCAGTAGCGCGTGGATTCTTGCATAACCATAAGCCGCAGCCTTGGAAGACGTGAATCAACTCCCTACTACAAAATGTCGTTTTCAGTCTTAGTTTGAATTACCGCCTGGGATCATAAACGTCTCTTCGCGCCATCACTCCCACTTTTCTTATCTTGACTGTCTATTTCCGAATATTAGCCCCATAGCATTTCGTGACTGATACACTTTGAAATCCTTCTCTTAAAGTTGGTAATATAGGGAACGGGACGGCGCGAGGAAAAAAAGCAACTCAGATAATAAGTTCTTTGTCGAAAACGGCTAATATTGTCAGACACACCAGGTGGTTTCTTTTCAGCTTCATCTACATTCACACACTCACAATCACTCATATTTGCACACAATGTCTTTTGAGCTTCCGATTGGTCACATCCCCTGGACGAAGTGGTGCCAAGTAAGCGTCAAAGACAGGGAAAGAAATGCTTGAACGTTGCAGTACTGTCAGTACCGAAAGTAACCTCCGTGGGCGCCATCACATCTTGCTTGCCATAGGCCACCAGTCAACAAGGGCAACGTTGTTTTGCTCAGTATCCAATTCTATTGCATATAGTTGGTAGAATAACAAGGAATGAGCTTTAGCATAAGTCACTGCCTTTGGAAAAGGTCTTGAAGAAATGAAACAGAAGTATTTATATCACCGTAGAAGGCACTTTCCGGAAGATATCCCAATTGAAGAGAGCGTCGTTCTCTTCAGTTCAACCGGACCGGAGTACTGAAATCACTTTGCAGTCCAGTGCATAAAGAGTGGAGTAGAAATTTGGTACTCAGATAAGACGCCAGAAGGATGAGTCATCCTTACCTGTTTATTCATATAGCTGCAAGTTGGTGTAGATGTACCGTTGGTGACTGTTAAATCCTCATCTGTTGACTGTGAGAAAAAAGCTAGCACTTCAAACAAGGAAGTTGAAACTAGGAATTCATTTTCCATTCGTGTCCCGTTCGGAAGCTTGAATGTAAGAAGTTTGAAGGAAAAATCTATGAGAAGAGGGTGACCTCGAAAGTTGTTCAAACTGCTCTTGCCCCACTACCTGCAGTGCTATGGTGACCTTCGAGTCCGATGAAATCCTCATGGCTTGAACCATCTCGAGGGTAGCATTGTTAGGTAAGCCACTAAGTCTGGAATCGCAATAAATTATTTCGATAAGGAAAGGCGTTCGGCACTGATGAACAATAAGTAGACACGGAGAAAAGCTCACCATGAAAAATCGCGAGCAGCTTACGCGGAAGCAACAAGGAAACCCAAACGAAAGAGCGGAGATGCGAGAGTGAAAACATTTGCACGCATTTACAGACAGAAGCAAATGCGTAGAGGGTTGCAAACAGGGGTCGAGGGGTAGTAGGCAAGATATGGTGAAAAGTGTGCGTATGTAGGAGGCGTGTGCGACATGCTGAGGTGGCAGACACAGAAGATCTTTACGAAGCTGAGCTCTTCAGACATGAATAAGCATGTGACAGCACTGATTCGGAATGGTGCTGAGCAGCAACGAAAGATGTTCATCCGATTCCAAGGGCCACTTCGACCTAACATCCCACACCATTAGAATGCACATGGTTCAGCCCAAGTCCCCTGTAGCACCGTGACTAGTGGTTTATTTTATTTTATTTTTTAATAGCAGAGAACAGATGAGAGAAGCAATATCGAGAAATTTGAAAAGACAAGCAACGGGTAAGGATGTCGCAGAGGAAGAAAAAGTAGCGGAGGCTTTTGGAAAACAATCAAGAGGAATGAAAAAATCAATTGATTTGAATTAGATTTGTAGATGTGTACCTGAAAGGTAGTGCGAGGTCCACACTGCGATTTTGATTTGACAGCTGGTACTCGTCTGCGTCGAATCCATTCTTCAGACACGCCTCCTCCAAAACCTAGAAACTCTATACGCACTTCAGTGATTAGTGGATATTGCTGCCAACAACTGCCACAAATACATTTCGATGGCAGGTACTTTCAGAAGGAGACGAACTCGGCTACAGCGCGAGTCATTCCGAAGCGACTGAAACCATATGAGTTTGGGTAGTGGGCTAAGCCTTCGTCGCCTGGTTGCTCAGTTGCTCTTCCAAAACTTTAGCCGTACAATCTTCTTGGAATGATCGCTTCATTTGATGTTCGACTATCAAGCAGAGATTTGGTAAGCCGTCCTCGTTATCCCCCATAAACTCATCAGTCTGATCTTTTTTTCTTATTTTATCTTTCTAGTCTTTGCTCTTTTCTGCTGGGCCGCGTTCATACCTTTCGAAATCGAAGAACTGGCAAACAGCGCAATCCGAAGAATCGGAAAAGTTTTGAAAAGGAACGTATACATATAGATCCAGATAATAAGTGATTTCCCGATACTCTTGATGGATCCACATCTTTTCGCGCATTCCCCAGCTAAGAATTCCAGATACGTCTTACTCGACACCGCAATTCTTCGATTCTCGAAATCGGCACGTACAACTTCTTTGTCGCGATTTATCCGATTCCTCAATTCTCCAGTTCCGCAAGGTATGAACGCGGCCTTATGCTTTTGATGCAACAGTGTACTGTTACGGTGGAATACATGCCTTTTGACCCAGTGAATGAATGAAGTGAGCGAAAAAAAGAATACATAACAAATACCACCACTGGTACATTTGCCCGCTCGTGTGCTTAACAGTGCAACAAATTCGCAGAAAAGAAGAATCAACTGCTCGAATCTCTTAGCTGAACACCCAACACACCAATGTTGCGGATCCCACATAAGATTGGGTAGTTTACTGTGGTCGCTGAGAGATTGGGAGGAAAGCGTACTGAAGAAGTTCCCCTAATGCGACGAATTCAATCTTTTTAGATAGTGTACTAGTTTGAAAGAACATGGGAAACACTAGAACAAAATGTTATACGTGAAGTTGTTGTGCTAATGTCTTGGGCAGGGGAAGCGGGCTTCACAGCGCCTCCTCCTCGAGTCAATGCATAGGCTCAGAACCTGGGCAGTCAAAGTCGCCTCTTTCTGTTGCGGAACAAACGTTCGCCAACGTCCACGCGATCCGACTGTCCGCTCTGTGAAACTGGACTGTGAAAGAAACGCAGAGAGTCCCCCCTCACCACCCAAATACGCTGGCGCCAATGCACAAACCTGTCTCATCAGCATGCCCGGCGTTACTTTCACGGAGCATCTCCGAGCGTTTGGACAAAGCACGGTCACGCTACTCATTGGAAAGGTTACGAGACTGCGCTTTCTGTAAATGTTACTATGGAACATCTGAAGACAAGTTCAAAATATTGCTGCAAACCTCTAGTAAGGTGGCACACTCGAATATAAACAGCTAACAAGAGGTGGGCACGGTTTGACAACAGTACCACATGTTGATGATATCTAAACAAAGCCAAGGTAGCCTCTTTAAATGATTTTCCCGCGCGCGCCCATTTGAATCGACATCATTGAAACGCTCTGTTTATGGGCCGTATATAACTGCCCAAAGATAGCTTCAAAGGAGTTCTTGTACTTTGTTCAAATCTGTTCATCTATTCCAATATATTCCAATTGTAATGCTGATCATTGCAATCACTCAGTAATGATTAATAACTCATAGGTACCTAGTCGCAATTAAGGAAGATCAACTAAAATTCTCTTCATGCCCGGAAGTTTGAAAAAGAGAATTCAAGGGACGTCTAATGCTATTACACTCCAAATAGGGTATCTTACTGGTTTCACTAAGTCCCTCCAAACACAATGGATGTACAGCATAAGGTATCGGTGTGATGTACCACTATAATCAAATAGTGAATGACAAAACTTTGCGAAAGCGTCGGATGAGAAATGGTGGAAAGAGCCGGCAAGGGAAGGGAACAGTCATGAACACGGTCTCGACAGCTAGTTACCACACATAAAAAACCGACAAAAGGTAGTAGAAAGAAGGGAAGCCTGCTCCACGAGCGAGTGTTCGAACATGATTTGGTCTCCATATGTACCACCGCCTGTTTGGCCCTAGGACCACTGCATCTTTTCCAGCAGATCTGTGTCCCGCAACCTGTTTCGTTTCGCCACATGGAAAAACTCAGATTTCAAAATATCGACTTAGCAAATTCAGCACCATCGAAAGCGCCGTATTAGTGCCATGAATTGGGTTTGGTAATGGGAGATCATCGAAATTTCTGAGGCGGAAGAGCGCTTCCAAACCCGCCATACTTTCATGACAGGCGGGGTGGTGGGGAGAGGCGGGCGAGAGGATCGTAATTTGCCGCTCCGCCGCGCGCGGTGACGGGCGCGACAGTTCCTTAACTCGTGTCAACCTGTCAATTGGAGCACCGGGGCCGTATGCTATACTCCCCCTCGAGGGGAAGGGTCCCCTTCCCCTTATGCTACACTTCCCTCGAAAGCTTTGGGGGAGACGCCACGCCTACCAAATTAGGGGGAGAGCTCCCCCAACAACAAGTGTAGGGGAAGACATCCCCTGGAACTGTTTTTTAGTTTACTTCGCATTTGTTTCAAACTTTTCTTTATTTTTTCATAATACAGAAACATTCCTAACCACTCTACCGTTTTTTTTTTCATTTCATTACTTTTTACACAGTGTTTGGAGAGCTATTCTATGCTATTTTCTGACCGCAATTTTACACTTTCAAAAATGATCACTTCTTCATTCTTAGGATTTGCTATAGCTTTTTAGCCAACGTGAACGTTTCCTTTTCAATCTTACTAAAACATATTCAATCTTAATATAAAATATGATATGATTACATGTATAACAATAATAATGTAGGCCGTATATTATATACAGCAACAATAATATGGGAATGTCAATTTAGTTAGGCTGACCTCATTTAGCACCTCATTTAGCACCTTCCCATCCTCGCCTGTGGGGAGACGTGTGAGATCGCATGTGGGATGACCTCACTCAACTGGCTGCACTGGCTGGTGACCTCTCATCATCATTTCCAGCTCATTCAATATAAAACGATGAATGGAATGTAAAATAAAATAGTTTGGAGAATTAAAATTACACTCACAACTTCTGTAACACGAGCTCGAATGGGAAAGCGGTCTTTAAGGTGTAAAGAAGTCAGATTCTACATACTACTGGGTTACAGAAGTACTCCCGAACTCTGCTACAGGCAAATTAGTTTAGAGCGGATGACCTTTCGCACATTATTAGACACCTTGTCTTTGATTCTTTGCATCACACCTACTTTGGAGGTCAACCGCAACTAGTATTTAAGCGAAAGAACTGCATTAAGCAGAACCTGTCCGTGTTTGTTTCTCAGCATGATTTCAGGTTACGGCGACTTTCTCTTATCGGATTTTCTCGACCATAGCTTCCCAGGAGGTTAGTCCGTCTATGTACAGCACTTATGTCAACACTCCCCAACCACCCTTACCCCCCACACCAACGCTCCACAACTGCATGATTCGTCAGTGTACATGGCCTCGCCGATCGACACCTCGTCTACACAGGACTTCAACAATCGTTCTACATACCTTCTTTTACAGACATTTACTACACGCGCAATGCAAGCGGTCACACCTTCGCTATATACGTCTTCAGTTCTTACCACAGATTCCTGCTGCGCACCGAAGCTACACCCACAGTAGCAAACCTCTGTTTACGCCCTTCCCTTCTTTGCAGGCGCACACCACATTTGCGAGCTATTCCATCCGGCAATTGCCGGATTCGTTTTCATTCAGGTACCTTGTTCATAATTGTCAATGTTAAACTTGTGCAATGTTAAGATAAGTAGTGAGTTAATAAATTGACGCTAATAAACTTTATCCAGTCTCTGGTTGTTCTTTGAGGTGAGCGTCATAACAAGGGATCACTCAATTATGCCAGGGCTCCCCATTGGCAAGGAGGCTAGGTGCGAGATGTGCCAGCCTAATTACCGGCCTAACTAAAGCTTACACACCCCAATAATATAAGTTGTATGAGTTCGCAACGGTTGCTGCCCGAGCCATGCCGAGGTTGCCTCTTTGAAAGAAGAAAACTCACGCGCGCTTGTCTACGCACTTTTCATTGAGGCGCTCCATTTTATTACCACAGCCCCGAGGTGAATTCAAAAGGCTTATTCTACAACGAGAGCATCGTAACAACGATGAACTTTATTCATTGTAGTACAATATTGAGTCGCTGGTGATGATCAATGACTAACAAGTTATCGAGTAGCAGTTAAGGTCCTCTGAAACAAATTTGGATCTACTAAATAAGGTAGAGAACTCAACTTAGCGAACTTTGTACTAACCATAAGGATGCCCTACTTGGATCGTGAGTCGCACTACTTTCTCTGAGCTCCTCTAAATTTTCTCTAAAAACGCCTCACCGCGGTAGCTAGCGCTAAGCGGCTTTGAAAAACAACACTAGTGATACAGTTAAAACCATGGAAAAATAGGATCACCTCAAAAACCCTCGAAAAATAGGTCACGAGGTGAAATTCATTTTTATGTATGTAATATGTTGTTGCATTGCCCATACTGAAAATGTGCGCGTTCGGAGAGCGGAGAACATAGTGATAGAGACAGGGCCACTAAGATAGTGGATAACATGTCGTTCTTACGCTAGGTGGGACAGATTCAGCCACCCTTCAATCTGGAGATTTCCTACATTTCGAAAATTTAGACTGAGAAAGTATTTTATTGAACGCGGATTCAAGAATGTTGAAAAAATTAATGTGGTCACCTCTATGACCTTGATTAATACACAAATCAGCCTGAAAATAGCTTTATAATAACAGGGCAAATGATTGCGATTGATAATCATCAGTCCTAGCTTGAGATTCTCCGAAATGTCAAAGTGCAAAGCCAGAGGCTGGATGTACGGACGACCCTTCCCCCAAATTTGCGCCAGCCAACTCTGCGTCTCTAGCGCTTCGGGGGATCCCCTCGAGTATAGCATACGGCCGCTCTAGGGGACGTCCCCCTGGGGTGTCTTCCCCTAGAGGGGACCCCTCCCCTCGAGGGGGAGAATAGCATACGGCCCCCGGAATCCACGTAGGCCCCGTAATCGTACCATAATCATATCACTCGTTTTTGTACGCTCATTGATATCTCGTGTTCGTACTAGCCTAGTGCTTGAAATTGCGTATTTCTCAGTTTGATAAGTATTCACTTTCCCCTGTATTCATTGGTAGTACTGCTTATTTTAACCGTCACTTCAGTAGTTACTAAGTAGACCGCTGATGGAATAGAAATGATTTCGAAATAGCGCGCCCCAATGAGAGCCACTCGAAGCGGGAATGTTATTCAAAGAGGCTACCACGGCTCCGTTTAGATAGCGTCCCACATGTTACGTGAAATAGCGCCGACAGCCGAGTGTCATTGCGTACCCAACCAACCACCGTAGCTCACAAGTGGTTTTGTTTTGCGCACTGCTGGAACTTGAGCAGCAACTATATGGATTTAGTTTGTTCTTCATTGTTCGATTACTCTTTGCTGTTGCAGAATCTTGGAGTAGTGCTAGGGGTTGCGAGCTGCAGAAGCTCAGTGGATCCTTCTCGCTCGAAAGTCACGAATCTTGTGTTTTTTTTTTGTGCAGAGATTTCTTGGTCTGACCGTCGAGTTGGCGGTTATCTTGATGTTTTGACTTCCGTAGAATCCCTTAGATAACTGCACTTGCTCCAGTCGTAAACTCGCACAAGTTGTCCGGCCCATCTTAGCTTCTGCGTAGGTGGCGCTTCGGATTTCTTTTGCGCCAAGCTCGCGAAACTATAAGCCACCAGGACGGGACTGGCGACCGTACTCTTGTGACACATTGCGGGCGTTCCAGACTGGCCTTAATTTACAAACGCTTTTTTGGATTCAGAGAAAACGGAACTTGACCTGATTTCGCCAGGCACTCTTTCCTTAGGCGAGGTAGAGTGTGCAAAATACGCCTAACCGTCACCGTGCATTTCCCAGCAAAATGAATCCTTTCCCAAACCCTACATCGTATCTTGGAACCAACCTAATACTGTTGCTGTGACTCGCGTGATGGACTCAGTGATCATACCCTTCTAACATCTCGGATCTTATCAGCAGCTGACAGTCTTGTCATCCACCAAAAATGTTCCTGTCCCTTACCCTAAATCATACGTTAGAATCAACACCTGGATGATGCTGTGACCCGCATTACGAATATGGTGAGAGTTCCATTCTGAGGCCTCTTATCAGATATTATAAACTGATATCAACTTCACTTCCTATCACCCACCAGTAGTGTTCCCGTCACACCCTCTACGTCACTTCTTGGAAGCAATATCTCGCTGCTACAGGGACCGGCGCTACGAATTTCGTGTCAAAGAGACAGACGCACACGCATGCACATAGCCGATTATATATGGTACACTCCTCATCATTACGGACTGTCGGGGCGTATCGGACAGAAAGAGTGCGCACACTGTTTGAAGCCGTTCTCAGCCTTTTCTTTGAAGCGCGTATGCGATAAAAGTGGTAGAAAACGAGTAATACGAAGGAATATAGTGCTGTTATGTCATTTGATCGCTTCAACAACTGGTGCAGAAAAGACTTTGGAACCGCGGAAAACGCAGCCGCACTGACCCGCCCGCACAGTCCGTAATGAAGAGGAGTATAGAATGTGACGTAGTCGTTGTCGTAATGGTTTACTTGAGGCGGGGTGGCCTCGGTGATAGTGTGGGGGGTGGTCTCGGACCGTCAGGTAGTAGAATGCTGACATAATCTAGGCGTGCCTCGCAGTACAGGTGAGGTCACGCATCGAGTCTAACTATTTTCCTAAGGGTCATAATCACATGTCTCAATGTTCCCTATGGGTTACACATATCAATCAGGCAGTCATAAAAGGGTGCACCGGCAGGTTCTGGTGGCAATCCAGAACACTCCGCGGGGCAAGAAAAAGGGGAAGATGACCGGATTAGGATAACAGAGTGAGGCTATATCACAATATCAAGGCAAAAGAAACAGGTATGGGTGACATAGTAGACTCTAATAAAGCTAATGAGAGCCTTCTGAGAAATGTGGGAATATTCTTCCTAGATGGTTCTTGTGGCTCGTAGGCGCTGGTGAAGTTTGGTGGAGGTGGTTGAGACGGCCATCCTTGGTGCGACGGTGACGGTTCAGGTGAAATTGTTTCATTTAGTCAATGAAATGATAGTGAGGTCATGATGAACATAGTAGATCATAGAAAAATAAGAAAGCATTCGATAAGGGTGCTTGAAATAAGACCTATATAGATTGAAACCAACGAACTAAACGAGTGACCAAACAGAGCATGTGCTACTTATGTCTGGAGGAAGTCGATCACTTATAGTGAAACGTGAATAACGCTTATTTCTCGTCATGTATTCGAAACCGACAAGTAAATTATTATCTCTTGCTGAGTAGGGTTTTATGCACTGAGTAGCGGCAAAATTACGCTGAAGTGGATTTTGTTGTCTTGTTTTTGTTCTTTGTTGTTGAGCTTTAACAAGATATGGCTTCGTGAAGCTACCCCACCATGAAAAACTGTTTTGTACTAAGTGAAGACAGTTACCCTCACCATTTTTGTTTTGCTCATGCCCGCTTGCACAACGAGACATTTTTCGAGCTTTTTTATTTTGACGTCGCATATGCTCTCAACACCTGTAGTGATGTCTTCGACAGGGCATGATTCTTCATCCTCTACGATGGAGGGATTAGTTACTGGAATGTCTACTTGAGGACTCCTAGGAGCGGTGTTTTCTCCCGCATTTCCTGGTTGGTCCATGCCTAAATTTTGCGGCAATTTCTCAAATTTGACAGGCGATTTATCGCTTTCTGAAATCACCGAATTTTGGGTGATCAAGGCCGAAGTCGGACTTCGCTTTGCCGACGCAGGTCTCCCTGTACACTTTTCCGTAGAAAATAGGTCCCCACCGTTACTCTTTTGAGACCTAAAGCGGTGAACAGGATAGCGTTCAAATGTTTTATCTGTAGCTGGTGGAGTTCTTATTGCGAACTCTGTTTCCACTATTTGGTACTCGATCTCGCAGATCACCGTGGACGATTCTTTCAAGGAAATGGAGTATTTTGATTCTTTTTCAAGCTCATCAACTTCGTCTAAAAACTCTTTACGTTCTTCTCTCGTTTCTAATGTGAGGTACAACCTTTCTAAAGCATCGACTTTCTGCGCGAGCTCTTCTCTCGCTCTTTTAATGTGACCTAGGTGAAGCTTGAACCGTTTGAGGTTGGCAAGCAAATTATCTTGCCTTTCTTCACAGTCTTCTGAATATGAAATATTTTGGGTAAATGCCTCAAAGCTCTCCAGGTCTCCTATCACCAATTCTGAGCACATAGTAAGCCCCTTTTTCAATAGGTATAGGGACATGTTCGCTTCTTTTATGAAGCTTGCTTTTATGGTTTAAGGGAGCTTCTATTCGCTCCTAGTTACTCACGAATTAAGGCTGTTAGCCGGGTTGGGCCTATATAGGCAATCAAATGGTGTAAATATAGTGAACTCAAGATTGCAAAAAAATAGAATAAGAAAGTGGAATATTCATTAATACCTGCACTGGATTTTTCCCGGCCGTTTGCACCAGAAAATGTGACGGTAGTCGTTGTCGTAATGGTTTATTGAGGCGGGGTGGTCTCGGATCGTCAGGTAGTAGAATGCTGACTTCATCTAGGCGTGCCTCTCAATACAGGAGAGGTCACGCATCGAGTAGATAACTATTTACCTATGGGTCATAATCACATGCTCAATATTCCTTATGGGTTCCACATATCAATCAGGCAGTCATAAAAGGGTGCACCGGCAGGTTCTGGTGGCAATCCAGAACAGAATTGTCATCGTTGTCCCAATGTAACGCTGAAATCTAACCTTTTGTCCATTATTTTCTCGGGGTTAGTAGCAAAAATCTCCATAACCCTCACACGAAAATTCAGTAACCTGTAAGGGCAGCCTTCGAAGCATCCTACCGCTCAGTGCATTCTCCACCGCTGTAGGGTTTTTTTTCTGGAATGCACACCCGCATTCGGCAGTCTTGCGCTTCGAATGGTCCTCTCTCGGGTTGTTGGTGGAAGATATACTCGAAATCCCTGAGATCGGGTAGGCGTGGCTGCGCACTTGATTTTAAATGGTGGCGGCCCAGGTTTTCGTGAAATATTGTCATTTTGGAACAGTCGTAATCATGTCTGCATCTAACACCGAACATGATAGTTGTTGTTTCAAGTGAAGTATTGCACGAAAAACGGCCGTCCTATGTGCCATGCTTCAATATAGCCACACTACTCCGTCTGCAGGGATGAAGAGTGTAAATGGTTAGTGGATAAAGTTAGTTGCTGTGCAGTTCAATGGAAACTGAGGTAATAACTAACCTCAGGATGCCTCTGATCTTCCACGCTATACCACATTCTTTGAACCGAGAATACCACAGGCCCTGCAACCTGCCCTACATAAGTGGTGACGCCTCCGCATTTTAAGGCCCTTATGAATCTTTATCAGATGTTATGCGCTTTCTGGCCACACAGCCAATCATGTCCACTTCCCTCACCCTATACCAAATCTTGAAATCAAGGTTTCGACGGTCTGCTGGCAACCTGCCAAGAAATCCTGCACGGCACCTCGTCTAGGGTCCCCATTATGGATCATTATCAGATGTTATCG